ACTGCGTGCATGATATGGGCTGCTTGTTATGTGCTTAAATTTCCACTCGTCCGTAAATCTTTTGAACTCCTCTCGATATTGTGGTCCATTATCCGCTCTAACCACCTCCGGTATCCCAAATCGAGTAAAAATCTTCTTTGCAACAGCGATGACTGTCGCTGCTGACGTAACCTTTAGCTCTGCTATTTCGAAATATCTGGAAAAGTAATCTACAAAAATAATATAGTCTTTGTTTTTACATTGAAACAAGTCTGTTCCAACTATCTGCCACGGTCTTTTCGGTACTTGGCTTGGCATTAATGGTTCCACCACTTGTGGTCTATGCTCAATGCATTTCTCGCATTTAGATATCAAATTTTTGATATCGGTGTTGATGCCCGGCCATCAGACAGCTTCTTTTGCTCTGTCCGTGCAACGAGTTATGCCTAGATGCCCTGTGTGAAGGCGATCTAACATCTGTTTGCGTAGCCCTCCGGTCGGAATGTAGGCTCTTGTATTATAAACTATGATGTCCTTGAGCTCCGCTAAGTTTCCCCGATGCTCGAAGAACCCTCTTGCTGCCCTGTCTACGTCCGCTTTGTGGATAGGCCATCCTTCTCGTATATACCTTCTAAGTATACTTGCTGTATTATCTTGCTTTTGCGTCTCCGCCACCTCTTGCAGAAGTTTATCTCCTATCGGAGTTGCGGCCTCCACTGCCTGTACATACGATTTTACGTCTTGGTCGAATAAGATGTCCTCTTCTTTAAGTCCTTGCTTTTGTGGCGCCCGAGATAAGGTATCCGCAGTATATAGCTCCTTTCCGGGTACATGTTGCACTTCATAACTGAATCGCATGAGTCTCATACGAAAACGTTGTAACCTTGCCGATAATTCGCATATCGGTTTGCTTCCTAGTAGGGCTACTAGTGGTTTATGATCTGTCTGCAGTATTATCTGTGCTCCCAATATGTAATCGGAAAACTTCTCGCATGCCCACGTAAGTGCTAACGCCTCCTTTTCGATCTGTGCGTATCTTTTCTCCGTTTCTGTTAATCCTCGCGACGCGTAGCTTACGGGATGCCAGGTACCCTTGTTGTCCTGTTCTAACACCGCTCCCAGTCCGTAACTGGATGAGTCCGCTGATACGCGTGATTTCTTGGCTGGATCAAAAAATACCAATGTCGGTGCTTCGGACAGCATTTCTTTTATCTTACTAAACGCTTGATCATGGGCCGCCGTCCACATATATTCCTGGTTTTTCTTCAATAAATCTCTGAGGGGCTGCGCTATGTCCGCTAAATGACCCAAGAACTTCAAATGGTAATGCACCATCCCTAGAAACCGGCGTAATTCTACCGCTGATTTCGGCCTTTCTAACTCTCTCACCGCTGTAACTTTCTCAGGATCTGGTTGCACTCCTTTGTCCGCTGATATCACGTGACCCAAAAATTTCACGCTTGAGGTTCGGAATATACACTTACTTTTGTTTAATGTAATTCCGTTGTCTCTTAGTCTTCGCAGAACATATTCTAATCTCTCATCGTGCTCGGCTTCCGTGGCTCCGAAAACCAGTATATCATCCATCAGGGTGCTAACCCCTTCCGCTCCTTCCAGGATGTCACTTATCTTTCTTTGGAAGTGCTCTCCTGCCGATGTCAACCCCATCGGTAATCTATTAAATTGGAATCGCCCGAACGGAGTAATAAACGCTGTTAATCTTCTTGAGTTTTCATTCAACTCTATCTGGTAATATCCTGAACATGCGTCTAATTTAGTGAATATTTTAGCTCCTGCTAAACGACCCAACGTTTCGTCCACCACTGGTAACATGTGCTTCTCCCGTTGGACGCTCTTGTTAAGCTGTGTATAATCCACGCAAATTCGGACGTCTCCTCCCGGTTTAGGTACGACTACCATTCCGGCACACCATTCCGTTGGTTCCTCCACTGGGCTGATAACTCCTTCCTTTTGCATCGTATTCAGCGCCCGCCGCACTGCTTCGCGAAGCGGAATTGCCACCCTCCTCGGTGATGTTATTGCATACGGTCGTGCGCCTTCTTTCAATCTCAGAGTATAGGGACTGGACAAGCATCCTAACCCCTTAAATAACTCTGGGTATCTATCTTCCGGTTTTTTAGTGACGGCGTTCACCCATCGAATGATGCCCATCTTCTCTATGGCCGTCCGACTAAGTAGTGGCTCTTTGGCCCCCGGTACTACGTATATCTTCTCCTTGCAACGTTGACCCCGCCATTCCATGTTGGCTTCAATCATCGCCTTTACTGGGATAATTAGGTTACCTACCGCTCGTAAGTCTTTCGGTTGCTGCATTGAAATGTTACTGAAACTTTCTTTACGTAGTGCTTCTCCTATAATCGATACGTCGGCCCCTGAGTCTATCTTGAAATCTACCGGTATTCCCTCGATGCTAACCGTCGTTCTCCACGGTGTGTAATCTGCTGCTGTTGCTTTATTCCTGACTCGATCTGCAAATACTGAATCGGCTGCAGTGTATGTTTCTTTATTGCTAATCTCTTCTTTTGATCTAACCTCGCTTACTTTCTTCTTTTTCAGGGTACAGACTGTTTCCCAATGTCCTTTTTTCTTACAGTGGTTGCATGCCGACTGCCTTGCTGGACATTCTACAAATGCATGTTGAGGTGTGCGCCCGCACCTGCCGCACTTCTTGAGTGATGCGTTATCGTTTGGCCTACCTTTTTGCTGCTGCCTCGGTGCCGTTTTGTAGCGTCTATTCGCTCCTTTTTGATAAACGTAATCTACTTCCGTCCTACCGCTTACTGAGGCGTCTGATCCTCTCACCACGTTTTGCTGGCGTTTGACTTCATCCGCCTGTCGCGCTTTGGTGATGGCTCGTTCTAAGGTTAAGTCGGCCTGTAACTGCATAGCCTCTGACAGCTTTGTGTTTCTTACCCCTACGACGATTCTATCTCTTATTAATTCTTCGCGCAAATCTCCAAAATTACATGTTTCTGCTAGACTAAACAAATCCGCGATAAAATCATCGACATTCTCATTTGCGTCCTGCCGGCGTTGATTAAACCGCGCTCGCTCATATATCAAATTAGTTTTCTCACCGAAATGGGTCTTAAATTTTCCTATGACCGTGTCATACCTTTTGAGTTCCTCTTGACTTAATTTGAAGGACAATAGAATATCATCCGCCTTGTCTCCCATGGAGTAAATTAATAGGTTCACCTGGTCTTCCTCCGACCTCTGCGCAAGGCCTGCTGCTCGGCGATACCTTTCCCATCGTTGCGACCAACGATTCCAATCTTCCGCGTGGAAAGTAAACGGTTTCGGTGGGTCCAGTTGTGGTATCAGTATTGGTTTCTGTTCGTCTGGCATCTTCTAATGTGCTTCTAACCTCTTCGTCGACGTGTCTGTTCTATCTTTTCTCTTCCTCGGTGGGGTGGGTTTTTCCGCGCTGCCACCATGTGTTGGTGTCGAGACCGACTCCTTTTACTTCGGGTGAAGGGTTACGCGAATATAATATAGTCGTGGTACGCAATATAACTATTCTTTACTTGTACTTTATTCTCACGACGTTCGCCCTTGCCTCGTGGACTACACACCTCCTTAGTACGCCGCCAAGCCTTCAGAGCGCGCCTCATACGACA